AATAGTCATTTACAACTATGCAACTGAGTTATATGTCTCTTCCTCGTCGCCCGCCTTTTTTTCCCGCGTGTTTAGTCATATTATAGTACTCTAATTTGGTACTTTCTGTAATTACATTAAATTATGATCCCTCATAATGTAAAAACATTTTGTAATTTTAAACACATTTTCATTACACGAATCTAACGTTATAAATTAAAAACTGACTTCATAATTTTCATTGTCTAATCTTTTTACATAAACATTTTATAATGTGTTTATAAGATGTTCATGTTTTCTTAATAGGAATTAATTCTTAAAACATTAGCACTAATTTTAAACGGACACTACACATCTACATGAATTTAATAAATCACGAATGAATTTAAAAATATATTTTACATTGCTTTTATTTAACGAACCGTTTTTGTACATTTAAACTGTCAACTTTGACTTTGGATCTCGATGCAGCGACCTCCACGTGGTGAGATCTGAGAAGTTTCTGTCAGACATTGCCAGTAGCTTGCAAACAGCTGCTTTAGAATAATTGTATAAACGTAATTATATTTAAAGCGACAAATTTATACAGTGGTAATTGTTACTAACATTTTTATTTACAGCTTGATGTATTATTTGCTTCGGACAAAATTCCATCAATTTTAAACTCAAGCCAACTCAGAGTCACGTACTGGACGTGCACAATGTGTTAGGCCGAACATAGGCCGTGGCGAAGATGCTTTTGGTTGTGTAGTATATGTGCAAGATGTACGCACACATTGTTGCCACGTCATCAAAACTCCGCCCATAAGACGTTTCATCTCTCTCAACCCGAGTGAGAAAGAGCGTTAGTCACCTCCCACCGAATTCGATGCTAATGCCATCTAGCGGTCGAAGTCATCGTCCCCGCTATAGTGGTGAACGCCGTTAAGGAAATTAAGTTCTGTTTAAAATTTGTCTTAATTTCATTCGACCGACTGAAGAGTTACGGTAACCAGTAGTAAAATCTCATCTATTCCACTCCAAAATTTCTTTTCTTTTTTTAGAAAGTTTTTCTTTTCTCTTAGCGTATAAGAGTATATTTTTTTAAATGTATATCCGAAAAATAAAGTATTTTTCATTAGCGTCGGTTGTTGGAGTAGTTAGAACATTGGTGCCGTGAGGTTATTTTGTTAAAGAAAAATGCATAAAATTCATACACATTTAGTACATAACGTTGCAGTAAAATTATAAATTTGATGTCTTAATAGTGAATTAGTATACATTTATTATAAAATTCTAAGTTAATTTATAATTATATAACATCGAGTTGTAAATGTTGTCAAAATGTCTAGAAAAAATTTAAATTTGATATTCGAGTCATTTAATTCGCGTTGTATGTACGTATTTTAGATGTTTTTAATTTTACGCTCGTTTATATAAGTTGATTTTTAAACAATATTAATTGAGAGATAACAAGCTTCTGTATTTGTTTTTCACTGAGCTAAATTAATTTGGACAGATGACACGCCAAAAAGATATTAACATAAATTTTTCGTGAAAAATGAAGTTAAAAGGTGGGAAAAAAAGTATGCGGTGACAAGATTCAAACACGCGCTCCAGCAAGTACACAGTTGTTGCTTTAACCATTATACTGTTACGTGGCGGCCGAGCGGACGCGAGGCCGGGGTGATTCGGATGGAGATTACCCGAATCTTGCGCGTAACGAGATTTTTTTGTTTGCGAGGAGATTGTTCCGAGCGGCTAGATCAATTCCTCTGGTGGGATCTAGGAGAGTGAGAAATAAGAAGGGGGTGCGAACGAATGGCAAGGCGGCTAGTGCGTTAGGATAGTTTGCATTTATTCGTCCGTGAGGTCTGAATTACAGTCAGCTGGGAGGGCACCCGAGGTGCCTTGACCTAATTTTCTTTGGGCTACTGTACTTCCGCGTCGCGGCGGTTCGGGTGTCGTGATAGCGCGCTTTAGCGGCGGCAGGTTACTGGACGCCGGAGTGCTGATGCGGGAATTCCTTACTGTTTTAATGGCGGTCAACGCGTGGTTCTGTTTCGCAATGTTGCGATTCGAGCTCAGCTGTTTAATGGAAGTCGATGGATTCTTAATCTATTCGGTTGACCGGAGCAAGACATGGAAATCGCGATTATGGTTAGAATTCGGTTCTGGTCGGAGATGAAGGGTTAATAAATAAACTGGAATGAAAATGAAGATGAATCGAGCTTGCGAAGGATCCTCTACCTGGCTTGTTCAGCGGCCGGATTCGGTGACAGTCCCCTTCGATCAACCCAGCCGGATGACTGTGCGTAAACACCTTCGTCCCGTGACGTGCCCTAGGGTTGGAGGTCTCCTAGGAGTCTCCCGTCCAACGGAAGTCGCAGTGCCGACGTCTGGTCCTGACTCGGTGGTTGGATCGCTGGAGTACCGGGTGGCACTACTGCGGCTCGCAGGATGGTGGTCCTTGGCAGAGAGTCCAATGGTCTCGGTCTCTGACTCGCTAGGAACGGAGTACCCGGAGACCAGGAGCTCCACTCGAAGTTCGGTGATATGATACTTGACCGAAGACCGACGTGTAGCGTAAGAACTGACTCCTCGTCTTGACTTGACTGCTGGTTGTATTAGCAGGGTGTTCCAATTGGTGGGGGGTCCTAGGGCCCAGGTGAGGGTGGCGTTTCTGGGTCGTGCTGATGCGTTGCGTCGTCATCAGGTTGTTTGCCCCGGGTCGATCGATGACATTTGGAGCCGTTTGGCTAATGAACTTGTTGGATCCTTTCGCAAGAGTTTCCTAATCGCGTTTCCGTATTTGGATTTCCATGGCTACCTCCGACGATCGGAAAAATGGGTTTTTCCCTACGTTAGCGTATGGAAGGTACCTACGTAACAGTACCATCCCAGGTTAATGAATACCTTCTTACTTTTAAGATATATATGGTTTATATTAGATATCTATGAATTGAAAATGTTGACAATTCAAGCTATAAGGCTCGTTCGAACGAACGCTCGGTCACGTGTATTGTTATTTTGGTCCTAGATTAATATGTTTAAAGTTAATTAAAATGCCCTAATCGTTTAAGGTGACCTTTCCAGTTCTATCGTTTTAATATTTTGTACTATTATTGACACGTTTTAAATGGAATTATAGTCTATTTAGAATATTGGTTACGGCACTTTCTCTTTACAAATATATTATATTTCTGCAGGCGCCGTGACGGCCTTACTGCATTCCTAAAATAATGCTTCAAACTCTTCATACAATTCAGAGGAATTCGGAGGCTACGGTTCGGTACTTTAGGTATTTGGTATAACTGGCAGATGGCGACGTATCACTTGTCGCATTCGATGACTCAAGTAACCGGTTTGCATCAGAGATAGCGCTTTATCCTTCGCCTTATTTCTGAAACGGTGCCTCGCGTACTAGAGGCATCCGCAGGAATAACGGCGCTCGTCTCATAAAAATTTGATAGCTGTGTCCCCTTGAGCCGGGCTACTCGTATCTTCACTCTGATAATACCTTCGACACTTAGCGTTCTCTAACGTGATTGGCCGACATCCGGAGAACTCTCCTTCCGGATTATGGACCTTGCGAACTTGAACATATAATTAATATGGCGGTATATGTTGTAATTGGGGATAGTTATCACACGGGGGGATGATTCNCGACGGCATATCTTAGTAGCCGCAGCCTATGCAGACGGCGCTGTATTTATTAGGGCCCCTTTTTTATCGACACCATCCCAGACCCAGGGGCCGGATTCGGAGTTGCTTATCGCCTTTCACATCACCTTAACAACGTCGATATATGGAGCTTGAGAACGAGCAAGAATCTCCAACGCTTGATATTATTAAACAATAGTAAGTAAAAGTCATAATTCGTAAACATTTAATAGATCGTAACGTTTTTAAACGTATTTAATTATGGAAAGGCCCTGGAAGCGCTTTATAAGGACACCGCGATATCGGTAGCGCCGTTCGCGCACATGGTTTCGGCATATGGGCTAGGCGGCGCGTCGAATGGCCGATTCGAACGATGCATGCGGGCGTGTAGTTCCGATGTTGCTCCGTGGCGTAATTAAATGGCGGCGACAGTGCGTAGTTCGACAGATCGCCTGCGGTGATTGTTAATTTAAAACTCGGGAACGCGTGTGAGTTCAGGTTTGAATGAGGGCTTGTTTTAAAGCTGCCGTTGCTCCCCTGCTAACGCGACAGTGCTCCGATCCCTCAGTGGTCCGGTTTTTCCGAGTGGAAACGTAGACGAGGTGCCTCGGACGTGTCGAACAGTCACCTCGCCGATTTTTATTAATTACTAATTTGTTTTCAGTGACACAGTGGACCCCGAAAGATGCGTGGATTGGATACTCAGGATCTGCAAGAAGCCCAAAATAACCCAAATGAGGAATTTTAATCTGTTGTTGGATTCATTTAAGAAAGTAATTATCATATATTTCATCTAATTCTTTAATATTCAATAATTAGGAAATTATTCCCTTGCAGGTATTTTGCTGTCTTTGAGGACCCCTTGGCATGCAGTGGACCAGATGGAAGATCCGTCGATGCTCTGAAAAGAGCAATCGTGGAGTTGAGTTCTACGATGCAGTGAACTGAAGTTATCCCAGGTAAATTTAAATGCACATTCGTTCCCAATTTAGCTTGGGATTAATGGAATGGCTCGATTTGTTTCAGGTGGGGCTGTGCAGGCTCCGCACCTGGAAATAATGCTACGACAGGTGGCTGAAGACTCTTCGAGCGTGTGTCCCATTGTCACAGCATTTTTTATTCGTTGCAGGTTCAATGACGTCAGAATGGCTCTTGGTTCCTGAGGTCGCGCTTGTATGCTATGGAAACATTGCGAGGCAGTGGGGTTAAGGTTCGATCGACCTGAAGTGACAGGTGATCGCCTTAATCTCTCCAATTGGTGCTTGTCGAGGCAATGACCGCTTCGATTGGTCAAATAATGGAGGTAAGTAAATCATTGAGTTTTAATCAAATAATCAAGAGTTTTATTTGTTTAATTTTTCCAGGAGCTCCTGCCAATTGGAAGCTCTTGCTGCGGTGATTGATACATCTGGTTCGCTGCTCGTAAGAGCCCTTCGTCGTGAGGCACCTAAGGGAAGATGTTGGTTACAATGTGAGAGTTAGGTTAGGTTAGAGTTGGGGACTATAATTTTGTCCTGTGGCTCGGTTGTCTGGTATTTTGTTCATTCTGCATCTTAGTTCCTTCTGTTTGTCTGTGCCCTATGTTGCATTGTTGTCCGGTACGTGTACGTTCATAAGTATCTTGGCTGTTTTTCTTGTGCTAAATACTCCGTTGTTTCCGTGTTTAATTGCCGTCACTGCCCTATCCGTTTCTAATTTATTTGCCGTGTTTTTGTGTACGAAGCTCCACGGATTAATGTTGCCTTCCCTATTAACAAATTTTTCATAGCTTTTAACTTTTGTCCCTTTTATCGCCCTGTTGTATTTCCTTCGTTTTTTCCAGCATTGTTTTCTTTTTATTTCCCTGTCTATTCTGTCTTTTTCCTGTTGATATGTTTGTCCTTTTCTGTTCGTTTCCTTTTTCAAGTTCGTCACTCTATACCTCCACCATGGGTTCGCTTTTCTATGCCTCTTCCTGGTCGGGGAACATCGTGTACGATGGTGCTTGGTCTCTTCGCTCTCATTACCGTTGTTCCGAGGTCTTTGTTTGCCAGGAACCTGCCTAGTGCTCCCGGTGTGTCTGTCTCGACATACACCGCGCCGTCCCTTTCCTTTCTAACTGACTTAATGCCTATTGGGAGCATACAACGTTCTGTTCGGTTTATCGCCCCGTGTCAAATACTCCGTTTTAAATTGTTGTACGACCCTTTGTTCGATTTTTATTCTCGATTTTCGGGTCGCGTCAATCCGATTGAAAATCACTATTCACTAAAAACGGCCCTAATTTCCGTTCCCGAACTCGGATCCTGGTCTACCTAGCGCCGTCGGAAGCACTAGAATATAACGCTTTCAACGCACCTAGCCGCGTATATTTTATTTCCTATACTTTTCAAGAAATCGTGAGTTGTGTACTCACTTATTTTTCCGCTTGGCGTTTTCGCTAATGCGCAATACGTCGACGTGTCTCGTTTTCCTGGGCGTCTCATCTTTTTCTTCTCTGGTTTTCTCTCGTTTCTCAAAACCACTTCCACTATGAATCAGTCGATTCGTAATTCGATTTCGAACACGCTGGTACCGGTCACGACTCGATTCGATTGAAAATTCCTCGGGTACGATTGAAATGCTCGGAGCGCTCTGTGGCATGGCCGTTCGCCTCGAGCGGTCGCTTGGAACTACAGTGATAGGGACATTAAATTTCATTTGGCCGGTACACGGGGGTGCCCCCCCTGACTGCACCTGTAACAATACTTATCAGCGCCTATTGGTACCCGTAGGCTCCGGCCTGTCTCCCATCCGTTCGCCCTTTCCCAGAGCGGCGAGTTCAGAAAAAATGCGGATTCCATCGGCCGGTCAACAAACCGTGAGATGCGTTTAGCCAGCCGGGAACGCAGGGACGCGTCTACACACCGTCCTGTACCCTGCTGTTTCCGTGAGGAGCCCTGTGGAAGCAGCATCTCTGCGTCCGCGTGACGTTCGTGCAACACCCAGTGGACAGGAAAGACGGGTAATTAGCCCGTCTTCGCTCACCTCGGCTGGTTTGAGATGGTCCCGAGGTCAAAGTAAACCCACTGCCTACAAGACCTTCGACTCATCGGACCTCGTTTGCACCCCTGTGCTCTTTTTTTTGGGCCGGTCGGTATAGGTGGCATATCCCTGCCGCGGGCTCATACAGCGCGCGAAGCGTACGTGGCCCGCAAGATCAGGTCCCACCGCAATGTTTCCACCGGTATCTCAAGGGGAGAGTAGCACTTCTGCCAACCTCAAATCGACGCGTGGTCTACGCCGCGTTTGGTTGGACAGGTCTCTTTCTACACCTAATCTAATGTCTTAGTTGGCGAAGCGAACAGGGCTCTATTCAGCGTACGTTTTTCGGGACATCCTGCACTACTCAAAAGGATTCAGCCCATCCTTAGTGTACTCGAGTGACCTCACGTTTCCAGACCGCTCCATCGAGGAGGTGGACAGTTAGCACTTGCCCCCTACCCGCCCGCGCACGCTCCACAGTGCGCTTGCGTAGATCGTAACTTCTACGTCTGTCCAGAGTTGTTCACACTCGGTGTGGCTGTCTCCACACCTTGGGTAGGACTCAATAAGTTGCCGACTCAGTGGGGGGATTTTTTGCGGTTCAGTAGATAGGGATAGTGCCGATATACTGACTTGCACCCACTGCACCTGTGGTCGATTGACTACCTATCGGCTCCCCTTTGCGGGGGAATATACATAACCACGCCCAGCTCGCCCCTGCAAAGAGAGGACGGGCCGGGAAAAACTCGAATGCCCCGGCTCGGTCGACAAACCCTGGGGAGGCGCTAGCTAGCCGGGGCTTCCGCGACGCACTCCCGAAGGAGGCTGCTTGACCCCGGTCTGATGCCCGCGGGGAACTTCGTTGAAGTCCCTCCCCTGCGTCACGCGTGGTGCGAGCATTCGCGCAAGGCCACACCTGAAACGCAATGCTCCAGTGTGGGTTGGGATGTGCTCGGAACGTAGTCGATTCACATATATGTTGTTATGGTATGCAGCTTTAGTCCGTGCCTCTGCAACAGAAAACCTTCGTCCTTCGAGAGTTCGAGCCTCACGACTCCTGAGACCGAAATGAATTTAATTCTAACTTGTAAAAGAACACGAGACTGGCGAGAGAGCGCGGAAATCGTTACGCCGTCGATCAGCTCAGCGTGTCAATATTACAGATTTCGGGAGGCCTGTCCGCGAGAAATGGTTCGAGCGAGTTTTTCTACGCTTGGGAGCTCCAACGCCGTCCTGTCTGAAGTGAAATTTGGTGATTTAGCTTTCTGAGAAAGTTCTTGAATATTCAGCCTTTTTAATTTGATTAGGTACAATCCTAATCGGATTAAGGAGATTTTTCCCTGGCCCAGGTACTCGGATCGGGAGAGGAAAAAAAAAGGAAACGAGTCTCAGTAAGAACGGCTTATTTCATCAAGGGTCCGTTCTATTTGTTTACCATCGAATCGACAAAGGAACATGGAAACATGGAAAACAAAGGTTATTTGGATAATTTACTGTGGGGTAGGATTCAGATCGGCCTTAATAACCGTCCTCGCGTCTCTTCGCGTTTCCCCTTCCCCAAGGCTCGATTCTTACCTAAGCGTTTGATTTTAAATTTGACCGTTGGTAGGCTCGAGATATAGAGTTGTTAATTTACAACTTCAATGAGAATTTGGAACTTACTTAGGGGTGGCTGATAAGCCCCATTTGAAATAATGCTCTCTAATTAATTTGGGCTCGCGGACTAAAATCAACTGCGGATTTACCAGGTATAAGTATAAGCTTAACTCCGCTGTTTTTCAGTCAGAAAAACACATGCTTTTTTCATAGAAAGCGAAAAAATAATTTATTCAAAGTACTGGCCCTCGCTAGCTACACATCTGTCCCATTTCTCGGGCAATTTGTGGATACCACGCCAAAAAAAATTTTTCTCTTTCGAGGCAAACCACTCATCAAGCCATTGTTGGACATCTTCGTAAGAATCGAAGTGTTGCTCAGCGAGTGCGTGGCTCATCGTCGAAAACAGGTGGTAATCAGAAAGGGGCCAGGTCGGGTGAATAAGCGGCATGGGGTAGCTCCTCCCAGTTGAGTGCCTCCACGTAGTTTCGGACCATTTTTTACGTGTACGATGGTACGATGTCGTGGATGAAAATCAGCTTGTCATGTCTTTGCTGAGAATCCGGCCATTTTCCACGAAGAGCACGGTGGAATTTGATAAGTTGTTGGTGGTAGTGGTGGGCATTGACAGTTTCACCAAGTTTCAACAACTCATAGTAGACGATAGCCTGCTGATTCCACCAAACGCACAGCATTGTCTTCCATCTGAAGCGATTTGGTCTTGCGGATCATTTTGATGGTTGGCCGGGATCAACGCACGATTTCTTTTGTTTAGGGTTCTCGAAAAATATCGACTTTTCATCGCCAGTCACAATCCGATGCAGGAGCGACTTTCTTTTTTGTTCGGCAAGCAAGATTTCCCATGTGTTTTGGCGTCGCTCGATCTGTCTAATGGTCAATTCATGCGGCACCCATTTTTCGATCTCTTGAACCTTTCCCATTGCACGTAGGCGCATGGAAATGGCTGGTTGAGTAATATCCAATTGCTGGGCAAGCATTTTTTGCGATTAGGTATCGTCTTCGTCCAAAAGAGTCCGCAACTGATGGTCCTCAACTTTCCAGAGACGATTTTCATGCTTCTTGTCGCTCTGGTCAAAATTGCTGTCTTTGAACTGACGAAACCAATATCTGCACGTTGTTTCCGATAAAGCAGTATCGCCATAGGCCTCCACAAGCATTCGATGCGATTTGGCAGCCGATTTCTTCAAATTGAAGCAGAAAAGCAGAGCTTCCCGTATATGCTTTTTTCGGGCAAAAATCTAGACATGATTACCAAATAAAAAATGTATGTTGTATGAAATTGCTGATGGTGTGCACTGATTATTGTTGACATATGTCAAACTCATACAAAATAGAAGTATGGCGCGTCCATTGTAACTTAATATGCTGACTAACGCAATATATTAGCAAACGGTGGATTTAAGCTTATACACCTGGTATGCATCTCCCAGAGTTATTCCCTCCTGGTCTTAGGATTACTTAGACTATGTTATCCGCGGATATTGGCTGGGTTAGGGTTTTTGGGGACCAGAAAATCCCATTCCAGTTGCAGCATGCGATCTGGAGGATATGAAGGCGGGATTTTTGTGAAGGACTTTCGTGAACTAGGGTATGGGGTTGGCAGTTATGCTAGGCCCACTGGAATACGGGATCTGAAAATAATCATATCAAAAATTATTCGTCTTTATCGAGATACCTTGCCCGCACTCGAATCGTGAGAGGCAATGCTCGGTCATCGAGGAACGAACAATCTCCCAACGAAGTTATTTTCGCGGTTTTCGAGAACTCTAAAAGAGAGCGATTTTTTTTTATTTGTATCACGGTTGACAACCACAAAGGAAATCAAACTGTCTCACCACCGTTGAGTATCGAGAGAGAAAATCGTACTTTATCGCACCACGATCGATATCGAAGAGCCCTCTCGCGAGCCGCGCGTTCCTTTCCCGAGAATTCCCTACTCTTACGCCATCCTACCTGCGCATGTCCTACGTATGCCGAAATAATGGCAACGGTGCAGTTTCGCACACTTTGAATTTGGACCCGTTACAATATGTATCTTCGACCCCTAGCATCTCAACTCGCCTTCTTACAGTGGACAGACACACCGGCCTCGCCGCACATCCGGGATCTCGGGACGCGCGATGGTTCCTCAGCACTCTGATTGGCGGGGGGGGGGGGGGGCTCTCCGCAGGGACCGCACTACTTCCGGTAACTCCAGGGGTAACAGGAGTGCGGTCTCGTTCGCAGGTGAGAATCCGCCGAGCATCGAAGGTCTCACAGCCTGCGTTTCGAGGTAGATATTTATGGGAACGGCCCGTCCCCGGTGACCAATCTCAAAGGAGATGACCTCATGGTCCCTCGTATGCCCTGGTATGACTCCACTGCTGTATGTTATATCGCAGGTCAGAGAGGCATAGTGATACATCCATGTTTGCTGCTCCCTTTGGGCCGCAAGATGTAGGGGCATTGCCACTTTTGTTGGCGCAGAAAATGTGGGCTGCCATAATATCTTCTAATAGATCGCCTCTACTATCAATTACATTTGATTGTCAAACCGTAGATTGGCATTTGCATCCGTGGCAATCACGGGGCTCCTGCCCTGATTGAGGCCTGCCATCCTCTCCAGCTGTCCTAGATATGGCTCAATA